ATGGGCTGGACCTAGCCCATAACATATTCATGATTAAATAATCTTAAATCTTTGGTTCTTTGAAGATAACCAAGTATCTTCCCAATTTCATTCCAATGTTCTATATTAGGACTACTTGTATAGCTAGACATTTTGCATACTGCAAAAGTTAAATATGGCTTCACATTCCTTAAAGTGTAACGAAACAACTTCTATTCTCAAGTCGAAATATTATACGTATTGTCCAGTTTGAAGAAGTATCTACCTTCTTATCCCTTGTGACTTTTTGTAGCATCTCCTAAGATTCAAACTCAAGACCTTTGTATTATAAGAAACTTAACTTGAGGTCTTAAGTTAGAATCCTAGGGGACGTGATAAAAAGTCGTGGGGGATAAGAGAGTAGATTCTCTCCCAAAGCAGACATTGAGTATGATATAATGCTTTGAGCACATATGCCAAATTATTGTAATAATGCACATTTTTTATGAAGACGTAGCATATGTACACAAGTCGTTATATTATACACACTGTCCACTTTGGGAGAGCATCTGTAGCCTTAGCCCTCCTGGATTTTTGTCTTTTTCCTAGGATTCAAACTTAAAATCTCTGCCTTATGCCAGAATTCAACTTAAGTCTCTCGTAAGGCAAATATCTTAATTTTGAATTCTAGGGGATGTGAAAAAGTAGTGAGGAGTTGGATGGAAGATGTTTTCCAAAAATGGATAATGAAACGATATAACGGTTCGGGTACATAGGCTAAGTCATTACAAAAATATTTGAGTTTAGATAGAAATTTCCAAGGTGCAACTTCTTGAAAGTTAAAGAACTCAATTGAAAATAAGGAAAACGTCATAGAGACTTGAGGGAGTTACTTGGAAAGATCAAGATGATTTGGGCTAAAAGGGTGATCATCATTTCACATATTCACGAACTTTGAAGTGTTATTAATGAAGTTTTAGTTCAAAAATAATACTTCAAATGATGAGGGTAAGCATTAGATTTATTTTCTCTTTAGATTTTTTAAAGAATTTGAGATTTTTATACAGTCCAGGATAGTTTGAGACAATCTGAATCAAGTTGAGATTTCGAACATAAAAACAAGAAGAATTAAGGAAAACAATATAAGGAATCAAATGGTATAGTTAATTTTACAATACTTTCCTTAATTCGGGATGTACGTGTCAAAGGGGCTATTTGGTAAAACTTGTAGTTAGTAGGAGGGCTCCATTTCCATCAGAAAAGAAGAGTAAAGGAAAAAAAAAAATTGATTTTTATATGAATTAAAATTGAATAAAGTAGGGATTAATGATAGATGTGTTTGGAGACTTTTCATTTACACCATTAAAGACCGAACTTAATTTTTTCGTCATGTTTAAGGAGGCCCCTCAACAAAATCTAAATTTCATAGATTTTTCAGATTTCATTTCATTTTTAACAAAAAGTATAAAAAACAAAAATCTCTCAAAGTTCTATAAAACCAAGAAAAGAAGATTTTGAAAGATCAAGATAAAGTTGTTTCAAAAGAGTCTTATTAATAAAAGAATTATGCGCAAATTAATCTTGTAATATTTTAATGATCTTAGATGATATTCGATATGGTTCACGATGGTTTTTATGAAATGTTCAAAACTTTTCGTTTGATATGGTCTTGTTTGTTGTTTTGAGTGTTATATATAGAAATATATAGACTTTTCCATTCGATATGATTCGGTTGTTTACTATGAACTGTGATATGGATTGTTTAATATTGTGATTAATATTATTTCAAGATTGAATTGCATGTATCTTATTTTGTATTTTTCAAAATACTTATCTTTTAGAATTTTCTTTATAGATTAATGCGAAATGGATGGATGAGCAATAAATTGGTGGTGTCAATGTGCTGTGATATGATGAACATATCTTAGAAGTAAACTTAGTTTTCATTTTACTTTTAAGTCTCAAAATTTATATTTTATTTCCTATGACGATGTTTAGTTTTGAAAACATAAAAAAATAAGAATAATAATAATAAATTAGTTCATATTTCAAACTACTTGGATAAATGTCTTTTTAAGTTTGCAAACAAAATGAAATAAATATTAGTAACGATTCAGATTAAAAATTCGGAACATTATATAAATAGTTGAGTTGAAAAAGGAAACAAAATATTTTCTGTCCATTTGAAAAAGATAAATGTTCACGTGGATAATATGAAGATACACTTTTTCCCTTTTTACATGACCATTTTTTACTCTCATTTTTTTTCCCTCTAATTTTACTCCCGCTTGTATGTAGCTATTTTGCTTAGTCACGGATAAAATCAACTCTAGGTTGCTTCTTCGTACCTCTAGGGTAAGTAGTACCTCTCAAGCGATTTTTGATTTGTCATAATTATTGATGCAGACCACTTCTCCAAAACCTTTACCTCATTTTTTCTGAATGTTATGATGAGTAATTTGGGATTAGATTACTAATTTATGATTCCAGCCTAGGTTCAACTTGTTAGTCAAAAACACTCCACAAAAATTTACAATCATGAAATACACACCTTTCGAAGCAGCTTATAACAGCGGCTTAACCACTCCCAAACTAGCTATTCAAATTACCAATGAATTATGTTATATGGTATGATTTTAGTTCAACAACCTATATTCATATAAAGTGGGTTTTCAACTCTTGAATCCACTTTCCACACATGATAAGATCCAATATATAGTGTTTGATATTTAACAATACTAAAGCTGCGTTTGGTTGCCAATATTTTCCATGGAAATTGTGTTTTTTCCATCCAAATTTCACTTTTGCATTGTTTGATTGACATTTTTTTCCATGGAAAATATTTTTATATTTTTGGTCGTATGAACATATTTTCCTCAAAATCAAGGAAAATATTTTCTTTAGGGAGTATGATATTATTTTTCACGGACTACCCACCAATAAAAAATGGACAAATATAATATTTTTTAGGTTTAAAACTAAATCAATCAAACACATTTAATTAATAATTTACATACAAATAAGTTATAGACAATTGAATTGCATTGAATTTATTTTCTTTCCATACAAATTCCATGCTCGCAATCAAACGTACCCTAAGAGGAAAATATTCAAGTGCAATACCAATTAGTTTAAACACTTTCGAGCTAGGTGATTCAAAATCATATAGTAGTAGCACTTGAACCTTTATAATATTAATCATCTACCGAAACCAATTCACGTGTTCTTTTTGGTCCCTTTTCTAATTTTCTCATCTATCCTGCATTTGTTCTAACTTATTTAATTCTTAAGACCCGAAGTCTTATATGAACTATAACATTGCTACAGAAGTATGTACTCGAGACTTAACAACATCAAGTCGCATGTCTTTTAACTTAACACAACAGATGGTATCAATAAATAAATTTGACTCTTTAATTCGTAAGTCACATTGACCATCAAGATTCCAAACTATTGAAAAGAGATCAGTTTGAACTCACTACTCATTTGAAAAATTTGACCATCTAAAAATGTCAACACAAAGTTAACTACCTCAACTCAGTCACATTCGAGAATAAAATCATATATAACATAACTTATCAAATCAACTGTTCAAGCATTAGAATCTCTTTTTTCACATTTGACAAAGTTATTGATCTTTATTCTCTAGAGTAGTATGATCCCCATTTTGGTCTTCTATTTCGTGGTTGATGTTTTCTAAAACATCATGTTCTTTTAAACACCAAAAATCTTATCATAGCAAATTTTTGATACCATGATCTATTAAATTTTAGAGACGTTTATTTTTAATTAATGCCATTTATGCACCTTAACATATATAATAGTTCGGCATTAGGTACAAAGTCGAAAGTTCACTATGTTCACAATGCTTTTGCTTCACTAGCATAAACTTAATTTCTTAACCCAAAATTTTATAAATTTTAAACGAAAATTGCATTAATTCTTCCAGCTTTATAACTCCCACTCAGTTGGTGAACCAAATAGTTATAGGTGATATTTTCTCTAAATTTTCTAATCGTCGAATTATCACTCAAATGACAATCAAAAGGTCTAAATAAGAATCGTACTAATTCTACCCACCTTAACATTTATAACAATTCAAGAATTAACAAATATCATATAATTCATTAAAATAATTTCAGAATGTATAATTAAAATTATAAATATGCACATTTATCAATCATGATATGAATCACGATATCACAAATTAACTTTTACTGAAAATAATTTTAAATATAATTGAAGAATAAAACTCCCGTCATTTTAGTTTTATTATATAAATTTTCAACATTATTTTAATCTCAGTTGCAACACAGTTCTAACAAATAGAAAGTGACATCAGAATGATCACTCTCCTTATCACCAAAAAATTACATCCCAAAAGTATAGTATCACACATTCATTCTAAACAGTTCACGTGTTCTATCAAGTTATGTTCCATATCCATTTATTATTTCGATAAGCACATAGCTTTTTCGATACATTTTGTATACATAGACTTTTAGTATTCTCTCTTAGAATGCTAAATATGCATCAATCTAGCCACATCAGACTAAACACGAAAAACGAAAATATGTCGTAATGGAGCACAACCACATTAAGACCAACATTACTAAAAAAATTTATTTACAAACGAAAGGGTAAGAAAAACACTTTCTAAGTATTTTTCAATCTCAAACAAGTGGGAGTATCTAAGAAAAATTAACCTCCACTAGACAAATACCACTTATCCTAATGATAAATTGGACAAGATTAGACGTAAAGGAGTGAAATTACATGGTAAATTGACCAAATCATTCCTAGGAGAAGTTCAAGGACCAACTTGCAGTTGGTCACATAGTTCATATAACCATGTGTGCGCATGAGAATAATGGGGTTACCCACTCAACCCC